ATTGTTTTCTTATATAGATCTTTTTTTAAATGATTGACAAAATATTTTGTATTGGATTAATATTTGATAAGGCTATGTTATAGTCCATTGCATTAATTTGGTTTATTTGAAAACTTTTTATAGTCACTTTTTGCAGAATGTGAACAAAAATTATATTACATGAATATAATCTTTAGTTTAAAGCTTTTTCTTTGTGACTTGTAACTATTCAAAACAAAAAAATCTTTATTGTCTCCAAAAATGTACATTAATCGTCTGTATTTACCTTAATATCATTCATCAACTTTAACCTATTATTTGATCGCATATAATGCTATCATCTACTGCCTGTTAGGTCATTTTGAGTTGACTATTTTCATGAAGGATCTGATTTCTAGCCTAGATATCAGGTCAAGCTACATTCATCACTAAAAATTACTGTTGATGAAATGTTTTCATGTACTACTTCACCTAATTTCTAAATCTCTTTTTGTGATGTTTACTTAAATGTGGTAGTTTTGTTTCTTTAATTTCTTTAGCCAGTGTTTTTATGATTCTGTATCTTTTCTTTCTCTATACATTCATAAAACCAGTTTTTTTTTCTTTTTAAATATTGTTCAATTCACTTTTGTTGCGTATCTTTTTAATTTTTCTCATATTTTTGTGACATTCTGAAAGCTAGTGTTTTTTTTTCTTCTTGCCAATGGTTGTAAGATCTTTTTTCTTTTATTGTTCTTTGCTTGCTGTTCAACATTTTGGAAATTTCCAGTGTTGTCTCCCTTTCCTCAATAACTTTACATCTTTTCTTTTGAGGTTCTAGCTTTCTTACAACTCATGGCACACTTTATATATCTGAAACTAAAAATTATTATCAGTAACTATACTACTAATATATATATATATATATATACACAATATGATGAACAATCCTTGTGTTGTATAATAAAATTTCAAATCAGATAAGTTATTGTAAATGTTTTTCATAAAACATTTACAATAATTTATAAACTGAAACTCACATGGTATATTTAATATATCCTGAAAATTTTCCAATCAGTAGGTTAATATCAATTGTGAAAACATTCAGTTGCATGATAAAATCTGACAGAATGTACATGGATTTTTAAAGTTTGTTTCTATCATTTTTTTTACTAGCTTTCATCTTGCAAATATTATTCAAACTATCAGTAAATTAAAATGAGAGAAAATATTAGTTGAAATTAATAATGGCTAACAATGACTCATCTAATTAATAAAAATCATGTTTTGTTATGTAGATGAATTCTACAGATAAAAAATATTTTTTTTCATTTAATTTTTTTTTTGGTTAATTTGAATTTCTTATTGAAAGATTTTTCAAAAGTCAGTATGAATGAAAATTATGGCAAACTTTGTGCCCACAAAAATATAGATTATCAAAAGGATAGTTTTTCCATTGACACCGCCTATTATTTTAACTACCCTCATTCCTCAAGAATGTTTATTGTTTTAAAAAGTGATAATTAGAATTTTGATAAAACCTAAACATATAATGAAAGTGAATTTAAACATTTCTTGTTCTTGAGAATTTACAACAAAAATATTAAACACTATTTAATAGATTGTTTATTTACAAGAATAATTTTCTATTTACAACATTTTATAAACTAATACATTTAAAACCAACACAATATTTAACATTTAGCAATTTATAAAGAAAACAAGTTTTTATAAATATTTACTAAATTATTAAAATATGTGAATCAAATATAAGGAAATCCTTATTATTTACTATTTTATAAAGTTTGACTCAATTGGCAATTAGCTGATGTTTTGTCAACCATTCCAATAAACAATTTAATAAATAGTATTTATTATTTTTGTTGTCAATTCTCAAGAACAAAGAAAATGTATAAATTCACTTTCATGTTTAGTTTTTATTACAATTCTAATCATCGCCTTTTAAAACAACAAACATTGCTGAGGACTGATGTAGTTAAAATAATAGCAGTGTGTCAATGAAAAAAAACCTTTTGATACTTTTTTTTTTTTTTTTTCTGGTCACAAAAGTTCATCTTTGCCAAAATTATTTTTAGAAATTTAATATTTAATTTCTAACTTTATTTTATAGATGCTTCTAAGCATGAAAATTAATTTTAATATTTATTTCTACAGCAATTAGAAATAATAATTTTCTTCAAATTCTCTTAATATTTTTTTTTATTAGTCTCTGATGACAATTAACTTTGGGGGACAAGTCAGAGGTTTATGTAAATGATTTTTATATTTATATAAATGCATTTTCATAGGCATTTTAAATTTAATTTTGATTAGTATTCATATAGATTTCTAAAAAAATCCTAGTTTTATTTTGTAACCTTTTTTATTAAATAGCTTATTAAAATGTTTTCTGATAGATCCTAAAGAGTTATAGATATATATCAAAATGTTTAAATATTTTAACATTGATGGAAGTGCAGGGTTCAATACCATACAATAAATACATACAATAAATGTTTGGATGCTGGAAATCTGGAAGGACGTTTCTATTTTTTTTTTTTTTTAAAGATATATTCGAGTTTGGCTGCACTTATTACATAACCCACCCAATCTGTAACATGGCATTCCCTGAAAATAAATCAAATATATGGATGACATTCATTGCAAGTCCTACGTGTTTATAAAATAACAAAGTTTTTATACATTCATTTCTTTTTACTATTCAACTTGAACTTTTTACAGGTTGTACTGGAAGGTAAGATACAGTTTGGGTGAATTCTATTTATTTAAATTCAAATATGTCGGAATGAATCCTGAAAAGAGGACATTTCTATTAGATTCGACTAAAAAAACATGAAAAAAATATAAGTTTAAAAAAAATGTACAATTTTGACTATTTTTTGGATGCAGAGAAAGTAAATAATTATTAAAATAAATTATCAATGCATCAGCCAATATACATAATAGGAACTTAATCCAATTAGAATTACAAGTGATACCTTCAATTTCTTTCTCTCATTAATTCACTGAGATGTGGTGTTGTGTGTGAAGCCATTTCTTAATTATGTATGCAACAGTGAATATGTTTGTTTTCTTTTTTAATCATTTCACCCCCAAGCAAGGCAATAAAGCCACTATGATTCAAGGGGTTACTGAGTGAAAGAATATGAGAAAGAGAAAGACAACAGAACAAGAATTAACATTCTATTTAAATTTTTGGAGATCAAAGTTGACTGGAAATCAAGTGGCTGAAAGGGAGTTCCACAAGTGATGAGACCTAGCTGCTAATCTAGTACTGCACTTAAATTCATAAAGTCAAGGTACCAGAGAGGAAAGCTCATTAGAACATGTTACTGTTCAATCAATATTGTAAAATTCCTTGTCGAACTTTTTTACATTTACATTCTTCATAATGGCTTTAATGTTTTTAAAATTCAAAAATTCATGTTGATGAAAAAAGATTTTATTAATGTTTAATACTAAAGTTTCCAACTGTTCTAATGCCTTAAAGATATGATGTAATTTGTGGGTCAAAGGCTGATTATTGAATAATCCTATCTATTGGTCTGGTAAAATGAATAATCTGACATAGTTCTAGAACCAAGGGGCTCTGGAAAATAGTTATTGTATTGGAAAGCAGTTTTGTGCCTGGTTTTCAACTGCTAATTTTAGTTTTTCTTACTTTTCAAAGTTCATAAAAAACAATAATGAAAAGTTATGCATTAAGAAAGAAAGAAAAAAAACAAAACCTGTTTTGTGATTTGACAGCAAGGAATTGAAAACTGTTAAAAAATTTGGTTCTGAATAACAAAAACGTTATAAACCACTACATAAATACAATGATGTTTCGACACCGTGGGTGTCTCCTCACAGCCTGAGACTGAAACATGATTGCATTTATGTAGCAGTTTATGTTTTTGTCATAATTGTTAATAAATGTTATTATTAATCTCTACTCTATACTGAACACTTAAAAAATATAATGTCTAGTACTAACCTACCTCACACTTGGGGAGATTATATATATATATATATATAAGGTGGAACTTGTATAGTGTTTATACATGTCTGCAAACTATTGAAGATATTTGAAGTACAACCACCACGGAAATAACTTGTTTTCTCAAGATTTCCTCTTTGCGTTTGTTTTTTGATGTGAATTTTTATTCTGATGGAGGGTTTTGTCTAATCTGGTCAGATAAATGCAGCCTAAAATTACAAGAAAAAACAGTGGGAGGAAATGAACAATGGGAAGTAAATTATTTATATTTTAAATTAGCTTCTTTTGTACATGATTTCTTGCCCATGTGCTTAAAAAGTTCTGAAGTTCAGATTTCTTTTTAGTAATCCATATATATTTTCACACTAATCATCCACTTATCTGTATCATTTGGGTTCTCTAAATATTGTTTAGTAATTTTATTATTTTTTTATTTCCTTTTCAATTCATATGTATATTTTGCAGCTCTGTTGAGTGTGGTGTTTTAGTGGAGATAAAAAAGAAAAGAAAAGGGTCCTAAATATCTTTTAATGAATTAAACTTACACCTGAAGAAATTCAAAACAGAAGACTGAAAAATATTAAACAACTTGAAATTTATTGAATCTTCACCTATGAATTGTTTTACTATTTTTTGGTTTGATAATATTTTATTTTTTATACCTTTTATAGATTTACTGCTCTTATTAAAAGATTCTGAAGTTATTCAGACAATTTTAGTTTTTAATGAAAAAAAAAAATGATTTAACTGGAAATATGTTAAATTAGGGTCATTAATTTTTTTTTGTTTTATTATACAAGCTTGTATTGTTACTTTTATCTTGTATTAAAGCGAATATGCAGATGTGCCTTGAGATAAATCAATAAAATGCTATTTCAGGGATTAATTTTAATAAATCCATAGATTAAAACTTCTTTTTAATCCACCCTTAAATTACCTGAGTTTATTTTAACACTGATTTCCATACTATTTTTAAATGTTTGCTGTATGTAAGTTAAATACTTTTTAATACATCAGATTTATAGGAGCCAATTAGCTTACAACCACATCACATTGAAACACCAGTTCTCTTATAATCACTGAAGTTAAGCAATGTTGAGCCTGGTCAGTACCTAGATGGTTGACTGTTTAGGAATACCTGATGCTGTAAACTTGTGTGCATGGTGTAATGGATTGGAATTGTTAATTGGAGAGCTGAGTTCCAATTCCCATTGGGTTCATTATATTCACTTATATGCATATACCATTGGGAAAGTTATGAATCTACCTCTTCTACTTCCTCAGCTATGGATTAATTAGTATGATTTGTATCACTAAACCATTATTAGCTATAAAAAAAAAAAAAAAATTCTCTCAATCTAAAAATATTTTCTGGCTTTAAATAACCTGCAAAGGGTTGAGAAACCATAGAAAATGAATATATCTATCAATCATTATAAGAACCAATCATAAATCTCTGCTGAAATTTAATGCCAAATGAAATATAAATAATACACAAGTAAAAAATCTTTCAAATTTGTTAATACTATATATGATACTAACAGGTGTTAAACAAAGCAACAATAAATCAATTAATAACACTGGATTTACACATGCTTTGATGAAAGCCAAATTATTTTTTTTTTAATTTTTGGGACACTGAGTTCAAAAAATGAAGTCCATTTTTACTGTTGAGTTCTATATTTTGCTGTAACAGAACTTGAGTAGTTTTTTCATAACTAATTAAATTTGCCATGTTTTCACAATACTTCTTGTAGGAAACCCTGGATGTTTTTGAATTCTTGATTTTTATATTATGATGATAATGACTATATTGTTTCCATTCATAACTTAGAATACAAAGTCTTTGGATTTAATTATACATAACATTTGTGGGTGAGAAACTTGAGTTTGTTAGCATGGTGAATGATTCCATTGAGAAATTATGGAAGAATGGTATAAAAAAAATTGATGGCAGACTACTACTGAAACTTAGACAGGACAAATCTACCAAGCATTCACAAAAATCAAATAAAAATGTTTGTGCCGTGACTATCAATTGCTTTCAATATTTAAATTCTACTCTATTCTATTGTGTTATATTGTTTTCATACCTAATTTCACATGAAGATTGTTTTTAAGCTTCAAATGAACATTTTTTTTTTTTTCACAATTACAGTGACCTAACCCAATCCTGGCCATTTTTTTTTTTTTTTTTATATATGGGATTCAAGAGCAGAAAAACTAAAGGCAATGGTGTTCTTTTTTTAATTGTTCAAAATTAGCCAAAACATCACATGCAAGAGTTAAAAAAAAAAATTGTAGTCATGTGAATACAACATAAATAATCCTATATGTATGCAGATGACAAAAAAATCATTACAAATAATAAAAAGTTTAAACGTTTTTGTTTTTTTTTAATTTGTCTCTTCACTTTGATAAAATGATTAAAGTGTAAAGAATATAAATAAACAAAATACTTTTCTGCCCTGAAACAGAATTAGGTTTGGGTATAGTTGTCAAGAATAAGACCACTAAACAAAATGACAGAAATTGCTACCTATCAAGAGTCTCAGAGACCATTATGGCTGTAATAAATTTGATCCTCACATTTTTTTTTGCCATCTTAAATTGAGCTTGGAGAGATCTCATCAATTTACAGTTGAGCTAGCTAGATGTAGCCACAACTTGTATGCTGACAGTGTCTTTTCTCACACCTCTCACTTGTGGAACTCCAGCTTCATGCTTAACAGCCAACTTCAAAAATTTAAATGCAGTGTCAATTGCTATCTACTATCCTGACTGCTCTTTTCCCTCATTACTAATGTTTGTGTTTCTAATTCCTTTACACCCTGTAACACCTTGCATGTTAGTGAATGTACTACTTTGCTTTGGGTGATACCAATTTAAAAAAAAAAAGCTCAGTAAATGTCAAAATTTGTAAGGATTTAATGAAAGTATGTGCACTATTAAATGTTTGACTAATTTTGTATTAGTTTAAGCAGAAGATAAAAAGGTATGAATGGATTTGGGAATTAAGATTAATTGATTAGCTTTACAAATTTAATCAGGTTCCTGAATTCTATAAATTCATGCATAAGATCTAAATAAACTTATAGGATATATTATACACCTTTTCTTTTTGGATCAATATACTCATCTTGGTTAAAAGATACTCACATTCTAATAATCAGAACCCTTTTTATTCAATTCACTGAACCAGAGCATGCAAGTAAATTGGGAGAATTAATGATATGAGTTATTTCCCCTAAGCAGAAGAAAAACAAATGCAGGGGTCTCAAATACAAGGACACAAAAGGGCCATTATGTGCAGAGGGCTCTACAAATCTTGTGGATGGTTCCCAACTGAGAGGTACACAGGCCCACAATGCTGAATTAATGGGAGTTTGGTAATGGGAAAGTGAGAGTAAGTGGGTGTAGCTGCTTATGTTAAGTACATGTGTTTTAAAAAAAGTAAAATTTATATGTAATTTTTAAAAAGAATCTGCACATTTTGAAATGCAGGACAATCTTGCATTTTGCAGAATGGTTGGCAACCCTATTTACCTGTGTCACAAAATACAAATATTTCAACTTTTCCTGTAATGTTTGGTTTTCTTCATCAGCTTTCTTTTTCTTTGACATTTTTTAGTTTCAATTATGTAGTTCACCAAACATGTCTTTCTTCCTTGAAATTTTAGTTTATTTAACAATGTCCTCTAAAATCTCTAACATGATTGTTTGTTTTAGTTGTATTTTACTGCATTTACCTCATCTACCATGTGTTTGAGACCCCTGATCTAATTAAAAAATTAAATACAAAAAGAATGAACAAAGAAAAAAAAATTTATTCAGAGATATACAATCCATTGACACATAAAAAATATATATATATTCATGTATCTTGAATTTTTTTTTTTTTTTTTTTGGTCAGTATTGTGAACATGTATTGATGATAGCTTGATTTAAAAAAAAATTACCATCTGGTGATTAAAATGGCAAAAGAAACTGCATTATTGTTTTCAAATTAGCATCCCACATAAAATCAGAAATGGTTAGACACCAGGACTTGCATTGATAGTTGTATTTGAATATTCACAATCATGATCAAAATGTTCGAATAAAGAGAATAAAATGTCCATCTTCCTTTAAATTACTCTCATTGTGAAACCAGGTAAGTTCTGACTTGACATTTTTCTACTAATAAATGTTCAAGATCTACATAAGATTAAATAGAACTGCTATTAACAATAGCCATTAGATATTATTTTCTTAAAAAAAAGAGAAAGGCACTTGTATAGTATGACTTGCTTTTGTTCTATTTATGTGTCAATTTTTTCTTTACTCCAAACTAGAATTTTAAGAGATTTTTTTTTTCCTATAAATCTTTATCTTCTAACTAAAAATATTATACTTTAAATAATGCAGATTTAAATAACATATCAGCCATGAATGATGCAAGAGCGAAAATCATTAAACAAGTTTTCATAGCCAACTTTAAAAGCAAAGAATTGAACAGAAATTATTCATATAAAAGCACATTGTTCAAATATTAAATTAACATAATCTTACAGTAACTTATTTATTTTTTAATCGAATTTTTCTCAACATATTTTGAAGACAGATATCAAAAAGAGAAATCTGCTCAAAGTTTACATTGCATGATACTAATTCATAAAATAATTCTCTTCAAAGTATAATTTAAATACTTTACTTTTTTTTTTGCTACAAGCAGCTAATATAAAGTTAAAGATAGTTTATTTCTAGACTATAATTATTCATTTCTCTTTAGAAGCAAGACATACCTTGTACAATATAGAAGTACTAAAACCTTTTGCTGATTAACATTCTTATATATCTAAGTAGTAATTTCAGTGAAAGATCTGGTGATCAAACTATTTAACTGTCTTAAGGGCAACACTAAAAATATTTAAAAATCATTTGCATATATAAAAGAGAAGGGTGTGTCAATTCAGAAATAGGAATTAATTATAAAAGCCTGACAATAATCTTTAAAATAAGCCAAGTAGAAATGATAAATGTTATCAATTCCATAAATTCATTTACAAGTTCATGAAAACTAAGCTGTACATTAATATTTGATAACCATTTTATATATTTACCTTTTTTTTTTTTTTAGTTTCAGTTTATTATATTTTGATCATTTTTGCTCCAGGCGAAGAAAGTGAAATAGAGAAAGACCAATCAAGTCATGGATTATGGCTATAGAATAGGATACTAAGCTAAATTGGTCAGACAGACAAGGACTTTTACTTTCTACATAAAAATGTATCAGCATATTGTATACATATAAGATAGTTTAGTTTTCAAATTGAGGAAGATAAAAAAATCAAAGGCTATTTTACTGTTAATAGGGAACCAGTTTGCCTGCATTAATAATTTCATAAACAATTATTTTGCCATCAGAACAAAGGTAAATGTTCAGATTGAAAATTATTAATTCATATGACATGCGCAAAAAATGTTCTATACAGTAAAGGCTTAGTAAAATTGGAGATGCCTCAAAGTTTCTGTTGATGCATGTTTCAAAATAAGATAAAATAAACTTTAAGATATATAAACAAGTGCAGTTCTGGCATCTTATCACCAGTTTTATAAAAGGAAGAAATTTTATTTGTTTTTGCTAAATCAATGTAACTAATTTTTCTTGGCTAAGATCAGACATCATTACTTAGCAAAAAAAAAAAAAAAAAAAAAATCAAAATACAAATTGGTAATATGATAATGGTTCCCCTTTGTTCTGATAGCCCAAATAATTTAGGTAAAAATTGCTACAAAAATGTTTTTTTTAATTCTATTATACAAATAGGAAAAAAAAATTAATCGGAAATGGAGATGATTATTAACCTGTTTAGTTTGCATATCAAATCTTTTTTTTTTCTCCAAATCAGATATTTTTTTTTCCAAAGCAACAATGAAAGAAATCTCAAATAGTTACATTTGTTACATTTCAATAAAAAATACCAGAGTTCCATTTCTGCAAATTTCATTCCATAACTGTTCCAATATGAAACAGAAAAAAAAAAATCTGCTGGAATAAAATAATAAAAAAATGTTCCCAGCTACTTTTACCCCAGAGTTTATTTATTTATTTTTTTTTAAGACAAAATTGTCAGTTATTCTAAAGAGATTATTTTTTTTGTTTTAAATGGAAAAAAAAAAGTCTGTTAATAAAAGCACCTGATCCCCTTTAAGAGATCTAAAACTGAAACAGATAAATCAACAGATGAAAAACAAACAAAAAAACAAAAAAAAAATCCTGAATGCAAGGACATTATTTTCTTTGCCACATAATGCTAATGTTATAGATTTTTCAAAATGGCACTTTAATTTTTTGAATGATAGCAAAGTGAGTATAAAGCCGCATAATTTCCACGGAGAACAGAAGTGTAGGAAGCGTCTCTTCAGGAGAAAAGAGGCATAAATATGGAATTACTTATTTAATGAAAATGAAATGGTAAGACAAAGGCAGCAGATACACTTTTTCTTCCTTTTCTATGTTCATAAAACTGATTTTTATAAAATTATCTAAACTGATTTTTTTTATGACACAACCTGAGATTAGAATGAAATGCTTATTTCTTGACAATTGTTAGTGAACATTGAAAATGTTTTGTTTGTTTAAAAATGAACTTTCTGAAGGAATTGTTAAACAAAAAATTGTTGAATAGAAAATTTTTAACTCAAGATGTGTTTTGCTCCACAAGAAAAGTTTATCAAATGAAATGTATAAAATGAAGTGTGTTGAAGAAATTCACAAAATAGTTTGCTAGCAAAATATAAAAAGGGGGGAATAAATGAGAAATAATTTTATAAAAAAAAAAAAAATCAGCATTATGTATGAAAAGCTGAGAGTAGCAGTAAATTAGAAGCAATGATACAATTGTGTATCAATACAGATTATTAACAAGCCTGCCTTGCAATGGGTACCCTAAAGCAGGGGGAATAGCACAAATAATACTTATGGTCCAATATATGTAAAGGTAAGTATAAATATTCACAAATTCATTTATACTATTATGTTATTTTTTTTATTTACTTTTTTTTTTTTGCAGTTTCTCAATCAGCCTGTTCTCTGATTATCATCAGGTGATAAAATGTACATTACTCTTGTCCTCCATCACACAATGAAACTTGTTTGGACATTTTGCATAAGCATAATTAAGAGAAGAATAAAAGATAAAATAATCTAAGCAATTTTTTTTTTTTTATACTTACTCCTTGGTATATGTGCATAAGTGGGGGAATTTGTTTAGAGAATCCACTAGACTGAGAAATTATTGTACTGAGAGGTACTGACAACAACCCTTTATATTTCTATACTCTCTTTTCACATACTTTGCCTAGAATGTTTCAATTCCTCTCTGGTGGTGTGGCAAAATGAAGTTATTTAGTCACACTATATTACCTGGAGATGATCAGAGAACAATTTGATAATAGACTCTGAATTCACAAAATAAATGATGGTTCATTTTCCAAATTTTTTGTTTTTAACCTTAGAGAAGAAAATTATAAAGAAAAAGTAACAAGTAGCTATCTGAAAATATAATACTGGAAAATTAGTTAATTCAGCAGTCATTGTATCATTTTTCTCTACAGATGGTGGGATACAAGTATAATCCTACTGAATTAAGATTATCCAAAAAAGCTTGTTGGCTGAATGTGACCTTAAAACAATGTTGCCATTACAGATGAGGATATTAGACTGAACGAACAGTTTCAGTTGTTCTGGATTTTTAAAGGGATGGAATGAAGAAATAAATTAGGGGAAAGCAGCAATTTCAAACTGCAAGCAAATCTTTGATTGCCTTTGTGAGTTTAGTTCATATGGCTTGTAAAACTGTGGAATGAAAAGAGATTTCATCAATGTAGAATTGGATTCCTCATAAGTTGATGACTTATACAAATTATACAAGGTGACAACCGATCATCCAGTTTGCTGTTATTGGTGGGCAGTAGTCAAAATGTGTTGAAAAAGCCAAGATTTCTTATTGGTATGTGTCATCTTCCTCTTCATCATAATATTGATCTTCTAAAAATAGAAAGCAAACAAGTTAGAAATATGACACTGTTGAATGACTGAACTTATTTTGTTCTATTGAGGTAAAAAAGTCTTTTCAAGAGGCTATAGTGAATTTAATAAATGAACCTTAGATGTGGCACAAGGCCAAACTTTTCAAAAGAGGCTATAAGAGCCTCAAATAATTACAATAAATTATAGAATAAAATATTCATTGATTGTAAATACAGGGTGCAGCAGAAATACCTCCCACATAATGGGGGAATTGTCTTCATCTAGCTCAGTGGTTCCCAAACAGTGTGGCGTGCCTCATAGGTGCAGCGGAAAAGGATAGCAGGTGAGGTGGAAAGATTGAAAGCCAATCAAAGAAACAGTTTCCAAAAATTCATCTGCCAAAAATATGATTTCAAACTTTTAAATATTATGGATTACTTGTAATGGCATGCATCAGTCCTAATACAAATAGTTATAAATAATTTATCACTGTGATTTTTTACATTATTGGGTTCTGCAAATTGGAGGAGAGAGTTATCAATGCTAATGTTCAGATTTCAAATCTGCAGTTATCTCCCTTTAACTCTCTTTCTTTTTTTTTTTTATTTTTAAAATGTGGCCCAGAGAAAAAAAAAAGTTTGACAACAACTGATCTAGCTAATGTCTTACCATCATTTGGGAGGTATTTTTGTTGCACTTTGTATTAGATCTTAGAGATGAATTGATTAGCAACCGTTTCAAAAATTTAATTCTAAACACAGTCAGTGTATTGGTTCTCTCTTAATATGCTAATGGTTTACAAAAATTAGCAAAAAAGTCTTCTGAGCAAATAATTTAAAAATTAATGTTGTTTTATATTATTTTATGTTAAATAAAGTCAAAATATGAGAGTGGTGATGTGACCTGCTTCCAATAGAAATGAAACTATATATAGGAAATTATTGTTTTAACATATAATTCTTGAATATTGGAGAAAGGAACTCTAAAGAATAACTGTTTACCATAATTATAAATGAATTAATAAAAACATATACTGTAAAGATCTTAATAAATGCATATTTGAGTGACAGAATTGTGGATCATGCATAGTCAAATGATTGCAGTGATCATGAACAGCATTCACTTCAATTCCAAATTGGTTGCAAAACCTGTTTTACAAATAATTTTCAAACTGTTCAAAACTTGCTCTGTTGTTTCAGTTTTTAGCTAAACAAACCAAGACCATGCTAATTAATTCTTCCAGTTTATCTAATACTACAAAACAGAAATTACTTTCAGTGACTCTTAGAATGTGCATTGATATAATTAGAATCAATAAAGATAGTTTGTATCTTTTAGGACTTTAATATGATTTCTTTTATTTACTTATCAAGGTTATGTGGCATTGCTAGGAGTAAAATACTTCATGACCAAATTAACAGAAAGAAATTGAAATGTCCACAAATATGAATATTTGAAAAATAAATGCATTTTTAATATATTATAAACAAAGTTTTAGGTTCTAGTTTTCTTATTTTTCATGAAAAGAAGCATTTTTCTTTAATTAGTTGAATTCCTTATTGATAATTTCATCACTATGATTCTGAAAACAAGATGAAACTTTTAGCTTTTTAAGGTGAACTGATAAAAGATAATTACAAAATAAGAATTTTATAACCTGTTTCATAGTCAAGCCATTTGGCAAAAGCTTTTCTTACATTTGAATACTTTTTATAATTTACACCTCAGTTTACTTTAATTATTCATGTGATAGCATTGTTATTCACCATCTGAGTAATTTATCCTTGTAGATACAGAATTGATAGAGTTAGCAACAATGAATATAGACCTTAAACGGGATGTTCAATTTGTCATTGTAACTTCTCTTGTATCAAATGTAAGCAGGAGAGAATAAAGTTAAGGGTAAGAGTTACCAGATCTGTCACTTGCATGGAACAGAAAAATAGGAACAGAATTCATTCAATCACTTCATATATTTATAGAGGAAAAAAAATGAACCTTTACTGTCATAGATTATAAATATAATAATAAAAATAACCACCAACCATTATTGAGTCCCTGTGATTTTTTGTTACCGCCATCCAAATTATTTGGGTGCTGAACCTATTAAAAAAAAAAAAAAGAGAAAAAAAAAGAGACATTCATAGAAGGAAGAAAATTGATTTGTTTCATGATTTTTGAAAAAAATTAAGATTTTTTAATTTATGTGAGATTTACATGCTGATCATTGTAAAAATGTTTAGAGAATGAGAACTTATTTTTGGTTTTCATCCAATTGTGGCATAATAGGTCTCCCATACAATTGAACACACACAAAGTCAAGTGGGCTCTAAATGATACTAGAGTCAAAAGTGTCAGATATTTTTTTTTAATTGCAGGAAGATAGTCTTTGAAATCTAGGGTTCAAAGCAGCAACCCACATGAGCAAAGGAGAAGAAAATAATAAACAAATAAATGAAAAGAAGGATCAAGTGGCACTTGGAAATGTTGGAAATGGAAACCCGATGTTTCTGCTTGCAGTATTCAGGGTGCGATGGGTAAATTGTCACCATTTTATATTTTTAATTTTATGCATGTGCATTGTTTGTTTTTGATTTTGTCAACTGCACAGTATAGTAGGATCAGCTGAGCACTGTCTGTGACAAAAAGAGCATCAAGATGCAATTCACTTTGCCAGAAATTTGGAAATGGGTCAAGAGGGTGGCTGCTGGAAGACCCAATGTCTGGCAACAGGACTCTTCACCATGCCACACAATCAAGAGAATCCAGACAATTTCTGCAACCATATCACCACTTACATCTGGCCACCTAACTACCCACACTGCAACCCCACTTGATTATTATGTGTGGGGCGCAGTGGAGCAAGAGACTAATAAAACTCCTTGTAACACCAAAGATGAACTGAAGTCAAAGATTATGGCAGCATTAACCAACTTAAACAAGGTGACCATCCAGAAAAGTTGCAGATTCCAAAGTCATCTGGACGATGTGGTTGAAGACAATAGTAACTTTATTGAATAAATTTACTCTTTAGTATTTCAAGATATTTTTGTGTAATTTTGATTTGGCTTGGTTTGTTTTATGGCATATCAATCTCAATAGGTTATTTAATGCCAACAAAATTTTTAGATTAGGTTCATATGAATAGAATATATATTCTTTATAAGAAATCACTTTGTAGATCAGGTTTCATTGACATATTTTTTTGCAAAGAAGTTTTTGTCAAGAGTCAAATCTATTGTTGGTAATATTTTTGGGGGGGGGCTTGATGATTCTATTGTATAATTTTATGCTTATGTATTAGGATGTTATGAGTTTTTGCTTGCCCAGTTTATGTTTTGTAAGTGAAATGTTCATAATTTCTATGCTCTCTAGTCTCTTTGTTTATTGTCATGTTTTGTTCTTTGGAGGTTATTTTGTTTCTTCTTGTCTGTTTGGTTTTGTTTTATTTGTTTTTCCATTAGGTTCTTTTGGCAATCTTTGTCTGGATGATGACTTTTCCCTTATTTGAGGTGAGATAGAGTTTTGTTTATCTATATCCATTTCTCTTGGTACATCAGTGAAGTACTGGGTTGTTTTATTTCTTTTATGAAACTTTTTTTTTTGTGAATGTTTGGAGGGTACTATTTCTTGAAAGATTTTTGTACTTTGAATTGGGGTTTTCAGAGTTATTTGTTTTGTTTTTATAGATTCTTTTTGTTTGAAGTTGACAAAATAGAATTTGTTTTGACTATTGGTATTTGGTTTATGTGTGGTATACTAAATTTTAGTAGTTCTATTAGATTTTAATTCATTTATTAGGGTTGTAAGATCATGGTTTATTATTGTGTTGTTCTCTTGTATGATATTTGGTGATTTGTCATTTTAGCAGCATTTGTACATAATGTTGGAAGTGAGTTAGTTTCGACATGTTTTTAGATTCTTGGAAAGAGACGTTTTGTGTGTATTTTATTCTTATTATTTGTTTTTCCTTTTTCCAGATGTTACACACTTTAGAATCTGCTGAGTGGTTTTGTTTGCAGTTTAGGGCATAAAGGAAGCCTTTCACAAGGTGACTCTTCATGATCAGTCTCAAATTCCCATCTTCGACAGACTGGTGCTCTCATACATCTATGGGGATTATAGATGTATGGCTCTCCCTTGTATATTGTGTATCCTATTTTTATATTATATTGATACATCACTGTTGCAATATACAACAGTACAATTTTTCTCCTAGTGATGTGATGACATGCTGGGTTATATAAACAACTTGTACATTGTATTATATTTAGTAAGATAGTATTATAACTATGTGTAATAGTTAAATTTATAAACATCACAGATGGACATGAGATTAGTGACCAAAATGTAAACATTTCAAACATATTCCTGCCAAGTAGGTGAGAATAATAATTTTATTATCAAATGTTTGTGGCCAATTTTAACTTCAGCCAAGTAAGATCAATAAAAAAAAAATCATCAGTTAGATTAAATCTTTCAACATAACTGTATTCAAAAGAATAAAATGGAGGAAAATCAAAAAATTTTGATCAAATTCTGTTTTTATAAAGAAACTCAAGTGTTAATGTTATTAGGTAATAATTAGATTTACGTTGAAAAAGCAACTGGGCCCCAAAATATCATCTCAAAGTAGTGAGTAAAAAGTATATGGAGAGGATAGGAAAGGAGGTGGTTGCGGTGATTTGGAAGGTATACTGCAGTAGATTTTTCATAATCTCTCTTGATCTTTCTTTCTCTCTCTTCTTCATTGTTGGTAGGAAAATAAAAACATTGAGATAGTCAAGGCCTGTGATTTAAAATAAAAAAAAAAAGTTGTTTATTTGATAATAATTATCTGGGTTGTTGAAAACTAATTTTTATAGAAAATATGCCAAAGAAAGCATGATAAATAACATTCTTTAACTGAATTTTCTTTACATGTATATTAAATTTCTACTCCTAAGAACAGACATAATAGTTTTATTAGTGGGCATGGCAACACGTTTTCATTTGATGAGTAATCCAGAAATTACCTAGCTAACTCAGTTTTTGTTAACAGGTATTTAGGTGTAAAGCTAAGAGGTGCTACGTTTAGTGAAGTAGAAAAGGTCTACCTCAGTGACACTTTTACCGACTTCTATAAGCATTAGTTTATGGCTAGAAATAGCTAGAAAGCCAAGTATTCTTCTTATGTCATGAGTCCTGTAACAAATTGGGATCAAAGTGACATCACATGTACTGCAACCATAGTTGGTAATGGTCTATGGCAATATATTTCTCTACTGGTTGATTTTGAATTTATTGTCCTTCTCCTAGATTGGTTGCCACTCAAGGCAAGAGATCTTAGTTTACCCTATTATTTATGGAGGGTGGGTTGAATTTCGAAATTTTCTTCTAGACTGGCTACTACCTAAGGCAAGAGAACTCAGTTTACCCTATTATTTATGGTGATTTGAATTTGAAATTTTCTAGTCCTAGACTGGCTGCTACCAAGGCAAAAGAGCCTATGCTATTTGACCCATAGCTGAAGATCTCTAAAATAAAGAACATCAACATGTTCTTATGATTTTCCATACATTTGCTGCAATGTAAAAATTCTTGAATTAACTGAATGTAAAGCATCATCTTACCTGGAGTTCTTTTTCGTCTGCCAATAAGGCATTATTGAAACCGTGATTCCTGTTCATCTTTTGTCGTTTATTTCCTCTGTGATTTTTTTTCATTTGATCACCTCCATCCTTAATATCTTCCAGGTTTTGTCCAATCATCATTTCTTGAGGGATTTTGTCTTCTAAAAACTGATGATTTTCATTTGCAGAATCCCTTCCAGCAAGTTTGTCTTCCACATTTACCCTTAAAGGAGGAGGTTGTGGTCCATTAAATGACTTCCCATCTTTCTGGAATGCTGGTGGCACAATTGGGTGCTCAGCTTCAAAAGGATCATTTCTCTTTGCATGACGACCACGATTCAGCATTCCAAAAATATGTTCCCGTTCTGCTTCTTCTTCGTCCAGCTCATTTTTATTGTCTTCATTTAAGCTTTTCTGTAAGAAAATCAGAAATTTTTTACAACACAATTGTGAATAGAATCTGTCAGGAAAATGTAAGAATACAAAATCAGTCAGATAGAAAAAGGGAAATATATTTCATAAGCAATAGAATGTTGATACAAAAGATCTAAATATGTTATTTAACCAGCATCTTTAAATACTAGAATTTTTTTTTGCAACACACTGATGTCTGCTGTAATCCTCACAGTATTTAGTATTGTTGAACTAATTGCTAACATTTTTTGTCAAGATTTACAAACTCTACATTTCATTCAATTTTGCAAACCAATCAATGAAATTTGAATAAGCCGATTTGTACAGAAAAATACATTGAAAAAAAAAACCCCCTACTTTGTGGTTTAATAATTTCTTTAATTTAATAGGATTCACGGTAAACAAAACTTTTTAAAAAAATTTCTTTTTTTTCCTTTTAAAAAGTGAAGAATAAATTCTTAGGATTTCTTACTCCTGAGCATGCAACATACAAGTAACCATGCATAAATATTTCTTTCTGGGGTCAAATTCCAACTTTTTTAAGCATTTGGCCTTGTGATTTGTTTATAGTTCTCACAAACACAGGGCAAACGAGAAAGTGGATTCTTGTATATATAAAAACTTAAAGAAAAGATATACAAAAAAAACAATATTGCATTTTTATTAAATAAGTATTTAATTTAATCATTAATTTTTTTTTAAATAGAGGAGTAATTTGTATGTTAAATAATAAAAATTTTAATTTTTCTCCCCAAATTAATGAAAATTTATTGTACTAAGCTATGCTCACTAGTAAAACCAACTGTACTTTTTGTACCCCCTTACCTGTTTGTACTTCTCCCCAAAATATGATTTTGATCAATCAGTGTATGGCTACTTAAGTGGATGTGATGGATGGATGAACAAATGGAATTCATAGAATTTTATATACATTTATCCTTGCCATGTATGATGTACACTTGGGTGATCATGTCTTTTTTCAATTTATGATTGACATAGAAGAAGAATTTTCACAGTAGGTTGCTATTACTTCTTTGTGTTAGACTCGTTGTCAGTCTGTCATGCTATTTAAGCCATAGCTGAAGGAGAAGAGATGGATTTATACTTTTTGCAAGAGTATTTGCATGTAAGTGAATGTAATGAACTCGGCTGTAAAATCAAACTCCCTTCTCTGATTTCTCAATTGAAGTTGTTATCCATTACACTGCACAGCACATCCAAGCTTACAGAATCTGGTATTCCCAAACAGTCAGTCATCTAGTTACTGACCAGGCTGCTTAATATTGGTGAACGAACGAGTTATGTGTTTCAACGTAATACGATTTTGTTCAGTAGGCAGTTTTAAATCAATTTTAAACCAACTTTTAACAACATATTTATAAGTTGTCATTTTGTCCTTGCTTTGAATATTGCTGCCACATCTGGTCTGGTGCACCAGCTATATATTTAGAGATTCTTGATAGAATCCAAACAATCTACAATGTTATTGTTCCTGACCTGGCATCTCAGCTTCAATCACTTTCCCACTGCTGTAATGTAGCTTACCTGTGCTTATTCTATAAGTACTTTCATGATAATTGTTCTGATGAACTTTCCTCTATGATACCTAGATTTTATGAATTTAAGCACAGTACTAGATTGGCATCAAGGTCTCATCATTTTACAGTTGAAATGGTTAGATGTAACTGTAAGTTCTATGCTAACACTTTCTTCTCTCACACTTCTTGTATGTAGAACTACTTTCTGGCTTCTTGCTACCTCGTCAACTTTGATCTTTAAAAATTTAAACGCAATGTCAATTGTTATCTTGTCCTAATTCTTGCTCTTTTATTGTTCTCTCTCTCCTCAATAGTATTTTTTTCTCATATTCTCTAACACTCAGTAACTTCTTGTGTCTTTGTGGCTTTATTGCCTTGCTTGGTGTGAAATGATTAATAAAAAAAATTGATTAATAGATGTGTTTGATTTTGTTAATATTTGAGAGTTTGCCAGAACAAGATGATGAGATGGAATAATATAATATTAAAATAAAACACTCTTCATTGTTTTTTATGCTAAGACTAATTATCAACAAGTATATTTCATAAATTCATCTTTTAATTCATACATAGCTTCTTTTAAATCTATATAAAAGAACAAAGATTTGATAAATAAATTAAACTAGTTGTTCAATGTTCTATATGTAAAGTTTAAGGACTGGCTTTATAAGTTTGCTATGTGTTATAACAGCAGACTTCAAAGTGGACGTTGGTGAATTTTGTATTAAAGATAGGGGTTGGGGTGGGAGAAAAACAAAAGAAAACAAAGAAGTTTCCTAGATACTGTCTTTTGTTGGTTTCTTTTTCGTATAATCTGCATTGTCAAAGTTTAATAAGGAACTAAAGAAATTGTTGAATGTAAAGGTTTATAAATATCAAATCCTTAATCCCAAATCTTTTGGAAAATGATTAGAGATCTCAGATTAAAGGAATTGAGATGATACAGAATGATTGCACAGTGTTTTCTGAGAATACAGAAGAGAGTGAGATTTGAAGATAATATATTTATAATAATGATAATATTTGATGGACTTGGAACTGTAAAGAACAAAAAATTTGAATTGAGATTGGATGAATTAGAAATTTGAGGAAAAGTCAAAAACTCTCTAAATCATGAGTTATGGTGTCTGTGACTATCCTTAGTAATAACTATTAGTCTGGTGTGAATATGCAAATACATATGATAATAATAATAATAATAAAGCCTCTGTAGTCCTTTTTATCTGATTTTTTGTAATAATAATGAGGAAGATAATGTTTAAGTATATGAGAAATTGTGTCCTCTGCAAAATCTCACAAAATCTTAAACTCTTTCTTAAAATATATACACATATTTACTACCAATTTTCATAATTTTGAATAATGGAAGTTTATATATTAATTTTCTATATCAAAAGTAATTCGTCCTTATCTCTTAGCATACACTGTAATTGGTTTTTCCTTAATTTCATTCATCAATCATTTTGCAGATGATGTACAATTATCAGAAGAGGAAAACAAGAATGACATTTTTAGGCTGAAATTGAGACACTGAACAAGTTCTAAATGGTGTAAGATTCTAAAAGAAAAGTTCTAAATGATGTTAAGATTTTGATGAAATTATGAATCATGAAGTGTTATTTGAGAAAAGATGAGTATTTTAAAGCACCTTCATTTACAGATGAATATGAATATGAATACAGAATGAAAAAAAAAAAAGATTTCAAATTTGACTGAAAGCAAAAAATGAATTACCTATATCCACCTGGTCCTGAAAAGAAATCAAAGTGCTATAAGATTGAGAAAGCTAAAAACAACTGGACATGGAAATATGTAAGATTTGAGATGGTGATTTTTAACAAAGTCTTTATGTTTCTATTAATATTTTGACTGTTTTTGATGTCCAATTTGCATGTTCACCTCCAGTTGCACTAATATCATATTTTGGTACATGTAAAGCAAACATCCACAAGTTTTATATTATTAAGATATGAATTCATTTTATAATAAGTTTATGGCAATCTTTAACGCTCATGCCAACTGGTAATTAGCCAATTTTTGCCAATTTCCCAATAAAATCTAATAAATAGTGTTTATTATTTTTGTTGCTAATTCTCAAGAACAAAGAAAATGTATAAATTCACTTTAGGTTTTATTAAAATTAATTGCTCTTTAAAACAATAAACATTGCTGAAGGGTTAAGGTAATTAAAATAATATTAGTGTCAAGGAAAAAAAATGATCCTTTTGACACATCGTTTTTTTTTTGTGGGCACGAAGGTTAAAGATTGCCAATTTTTCTTGGCAGCAGGTAGAAAAAGTATCAGTAATTTTAAAGATTTGTTAATTTCCTAGTAGTGACTATTATTGACAATAGATCAAAATAGAGGAAATTATTTACTGACCTATGAAGTAACATGTGACATTCACAAAAAAAAAAGCTGAAACTCATATTTGCATAACTGTAATCTATATGGAACTTACAGGCTGATGTGTGTGTGTGTGTATATATATATATATATATATATATATATATATATATATATATATATATTTATAAATATGAATTGGGATAAAATACAGATTGGAATCCAACAGAATGATAGGATAAATACATACATAATCATCCTAATCCCATATAGATAAACAAGAAACATGATACACTTACACACATAATTTATACACAAAAGCTGCTTGACTGGTCAAATACATGTGAAGTCTGCTCAACCAATGAACATCAAACACAAAAATGAAAATTTTTCCATATCTCATTCTCTGATGTAGCTTTAATAAAAGCAAAACATGTTAGATTTATAAATATTTTGTATTTGTTCTTTATCCTATCATATAACAACATACTTAAAATGCAATTGTATGCTATTGTCATGATCACAATTTTGAGCTGTAAAATGCTGTTTTAATACACCCAATTCAACCAAAGATGCATTGAAAGTGCCATGATCTATGAATCCTCTACAATTAATATACAACTGGCCTATTTCAGTTTATTACCTGTTCTTGCCAAATTAGTACTGAAACAATGTAGGATACAAAAATTTTAAAATAAAGGAATACGTTCTTAGCTGATGTGGAAAGACTATATTGAATCCATTGTTCGGACAGCTGCTAAGAAAGTTGCTGTGTTGTGCAAGACAATTTCTCTCTCCAGAATCTATCTTATATATATATAACTCTACCATTTGTCCATGCTTAGAGTATTGCTGCCACATATGGTCTGGTGCTCCTACTATTTATCTAGAGCTCCTTGATAAAATCCAAAGAATCAGCGATATTATTGGCCTTGTTCTTATGTCTCAGTTTCAGTCTCTTTCCCACTGCCATGCCATTTCTATAAATAATTTCATGTTAATTTTTCAGATGAGCTCTTTGCTATGATGCCTAGCTGATTTGAATTTAAGCACAGTACTATACTCGTGATGAGGTCTCATCAATTTAAAGTTGAGTTAGCATAGAATGTATGGTT